TTTCTCCTATTTTGTGAGTTATTTTTTGATTCTTTTAATTGTTTCCTTTGATATACAGAAACTTTTTAATTTGATGCAGTCTCATTTGTCTGTTCTTGCTTTTATATCCTGGGCAAGTGGAGACCAGGATATAATTCAGAAAATAATTACCTATGCCTTCATCTTCCAGTGTTTTCTCTATATTCTCCTGTACTAGCTTCAAAGTTTCAGATTTTACTTAAGATCTCTGATCCATTTGGAGTTGACTTTTGTACAAGATTAGAGATAGAGGTTTACTTTCAGTCTTCTGCTTGTACAAAACCAGTTTTCCTCGCACCATTTGTTAAAGAGGCTGTCTTTTCTCCAATACATACTTTTGGTTTGTTTGTCTTCAAATTTATTTGTAGTTACCTTCTCAAACTTCATTGAAAAGTCTTTTTTGAATTTTGAGTATTCTTTTATTGAAACTACAGACTTTAAAAATTTTGAAATTTAAAAAAATGGCATCTTCTTGATATAGTGTCATCTTTGAAAATGATAAATATTTACTTTGTATCTTTTCAATGTTGTTTAACAGCTTTCTCTGAAAAGATGGATTAGATTAGATTTTTTCATTTTTTTCAGGTTTTTGATTCAGATTCCATTTGTCTGATGTGCACGTTTCCAAAAAACATGGATTTTGCTTTTATGACTAATCTGCAAATCTGTAACTTTCAACTGTACAACGAAACCATTTATACTTGTTTTAATCACTAATACATTTGTCCTTATTTTTACATTTAAATGCTCTTCCTTCTTCCATATTTAATTATTTAATGTTTATGGTACCTTTTTACCTCTGGCACTTTTGGAGTAATAAATCCTCTTCCTAGGCTTCTAGAAGATATCCTTAAATTATTGCAACTACATCTAAATATCTTTTCTCTTGTCTAGAATTAATAATAAGATTTAGGAATTTAACTTTTTTTCCTCAAGCATGTTTCTAAACTGTATGTATTTTAAAATTTAATATGCATGTATTTTTAATAATTTCTTTTGTATTTGAAAAGGGCATATAGATTCAAGATTTTCTTTTGTTACATATTGCTAAGTGAATTTAAATTTTTGTCCTGTTTTTAATGATAGAAAATTGAGTTGTTCCTATGGATACGTGTGTGTGTATGAAATAATTGGACACATTACTTCTGTGCCACCAGAACTCCTGAATGCTTTTGTTTATTGTTTACTAATGTACAAAACTGAAGGCACTTAGACATGGAAAGAACCTCTGGGGCTATCACAATTAAATCAAGTCACTAAGTCAACAGAATTTTTGTATTTACCCTGTTTCAAGAAATGTAGCTGGTTCCAGTTAGCAAAGATGAACAAATAAGACATGGTTTTGAGTTGAGAAGTCTCCCACACTAATGATTGAAGAGGCAGAGATGTGTGTGGAAAGAGGCTATGGGAACATTCTGGGAGTACACAACCATAAGAAGGTGCAGCTTGAGCTGACTTTCAGACACTTGACTTCCCCTCTTCCACTGCAGTTATCTTCTTTGCTCCTTGTCTGTGTTTATCCACCTTCTGGTTGAGCACCAACAATGCATGCTTGGACATGCACAACAGAAAATTTATTCCTGCAGAGCTCAAATCCTTTGAGCTAATCTCTTCTATCATTTGGTCCTAGTATTGCCTTCTAGAGCTCAATAAAATATACACTTACCTTCCCTTGCGATCCTTCAGATGTTTGCCTTTCTAAAGCTGATTTCTTTTATGGTTAAACATTCCAAATTTTATATATTTCCCCTCTCCCTGGTTCTTTATGTGTTTCTGCTTTCTAGAATCAATATGGCCCCTAACTATGTTTCCAAAATATATAAAATACTGCAGATGTACTCAACTTAAAGAAAACTGAAATGAGAGTATCTGCTCCTCTCACAGAAAAATACTCTTGCTTACTCAGTCTAAGATCACATTATCATGTTGTAGTCTTTTTTTACAAATAAGATGAGAGATAAGTATTAAATATCACAGGATTATACAAATTAAAAATAAGAAAGAAAAATAGTCACGAGAAAATGAAATAATGATAACTTCTTATAGTCCCAGACACGAGAACTTCTTATAAAATATGCCATGCACTATCAGAGCCAAGAAGTCTTACATGATTGCAGGAGCTGAAACGTGCCTTTGGCTCCAAATTTATAGTAGCTCATCTTGGTTTATATTAAAATTGTGGTCAACTAAGATCCCTTAAAAACTACCAAAATTTTTTTCACATAAATGGCTTCAAAGTCAAATATAACAATTTTTATTTCAGTTATCATTCATCTTATTGGTTTCTGCTTGATCGTGTAATTCAAAACCTTATCTGGTCCACCTGGTTTTCTGCCAAGTGCAGATCTGCAGTCATTGCCTTTTTGGGTCCTGCAAAAATTTGCTCCCAGGATAAAACAAAGTTTCTTTTTTTTCTGTTCAACAATTATTTTGAATTGATTTTAGTTAATATCAGTTATATACTAGCATTTTTTTAAAAAAAAAGTTCAGTAAATGATTTGCTCATCCAAGAGTTCAGGAATATTTTATGGCATCATTTTAACACTCCCTTAAAACCATAAAACATTATTTAGACTCCTCAACATTGACACTGAAAGGAATCCTGAGGTGATGTCATTTGAAAATGGAGAGTGATAGTATCTGGTCTGTTAAACAGTGTTTAACTATGTTGAATCAAACTGTGTACATTGCTACCTGCAGACTCACACCAAAACATTAAGTCAGTGAACCTTCTCCTTTTAAAAAATTGGATAGAAAAAGTAAAAACAAGGTAGACATCAAGCACTGTCAAATCCACTGAGCCACCTTGCTACTATCCCCTTAAAAACAACGAAGGGAGAACTGAATGGATGTAACTGATGGTGTAAGACCTGAAGGAGTTTAGAAATTTCTAGAAAGGAAGGCATAGCAACAAGTAGGAAGAGTTAGCTGCTGAAAATACAAGTGTGGCATAGTGGCAAGCGTAGGATACAGCAAGAGGTGGAGGAAGGCAGAAGTTAACTTAGAGGGCAGAGGCAGGTATGGGCAGGACTCTGGGAAGACTGCAGAGTGGATGATTGACCTGAGTCAGGTGTTCTTCAACAGATAAGGCAAAGAAGAGTATTGCAAAACGAAGAGTGTAAGCAGAAGAGAGGAAGAAGGAGTTAAACCACAAGTTTCATGATTAGTAAGAACTTTGGAGCGGTTTCAACAGACCGAAGGATCTAAATGTGGAGAGAGATGAAGCTGGAAAGGTGAACAGAAGCTGGGTCATGAAGGTTGTTGTGTACCATGTGAAGGATTTATATTTGATATTTTCCCCCAGATGATTGCATATATTTCCACAGTTTTGTGGCATGATCCTGAAAATTGGACTTCCACATTTTTCCTAAAGACAAGCTTTGAAAGATTTTAGATTGAAGTCATCCCCTGTAGATAAGAAAAGAAACCACTATTTTAGGCCCCTCAAGGTCTCTAAAAAACAATGCTAGCTTGCTGCTGAGTTTCTAGAGGCTTAGCTGAGTTTCCCCACCTGTTCTAGCCTATCTCTTCTTCTCATTGTATGTAGCAGCCACAAAAATAAACGAGTAAGATCAACTTTGCTAAAGGATATGTTGGTAGATTTCTAGTGAAAATTAGCATAAATATTATTGAAAACTTTGGGTTAAAGGACTCACCTTACATATATTCAAATGACATTTTTAATATTTGAAGAATACATCATAAACCACAGTGAGAGTTTATCATTTGTAAGAAATGGCAGAAATATGGGATCTTTCTAAGATACTAAAGAACATGCGAAAGACTTTGAATTTTCAAAAAAAAGAGTAAGATACTCCTAACCTCTAGCCTAATGCAACTGTAGTTTGTAATAAATTTCTTGAGTTTATAATAAATTTCTATTAGATGTTCATGTGTTAAGCCCTGCATTTTCATTTTTTTCTTTTAATTTTCTCCTAGTTTTTTAATTGTCATCCAATATCACTAGAACTCATATATCAAGTATACACACACACTTCTCCCAAGAAAATCCTAAACATAGACTGTAGCAAAATTGAAAATTGAAATAACTTAGTAAATGCTTAATAAAATATTTTTCTTTACATGTAGTAAAAGTACCATGAAGTGTCTATGTGATTAAAATGTTAAAAAAAAAAGATTTGGTTTGGGGTTCAACATTCACTGCTTATGCTGTAAGTAACTGAAAATTATGGTTCAAAACAGCAGTGTGCCATTGTTTTTGTTTTTTCGTTTGGACAGGTAGTCTATTTTTTGTGTTTTAATAGAACAAAATGGTGTGTATTTTCCTTTGGGAGGTCACTCTTAATAAGTGTTGGAACATTTGAAAAGGCAAAACATTATTTGAAACAATTTTAAGGAATCGTTCAGTGATGGTCTTCACATAGTTAAGAATATTTCAAAACTATTTCAGAGGTTTCAAATAAAGACAATTGATCCACTATATGTTTTTACAGAAACAAAGGTAGTAAAATACCACACACATCTAGAACCACAGTTACAATCTAGTCCCAAGTGGCTTATTTTTGAAATAGAGTCATTTCCAAATCTGCTTGGGAGGCCAATCCTCTTGAGAAATAGGAGAAAGACAGCAGTTAAGTAAAATAAACATAGGAGAGTGGTTTTTATGGAAGTAGATTTTGCACAAATGTGTCATAAGGTACTGCTGTCAACTTCTTTTGAACAGCTGAATGACATCTGCAAAGCTTGAAGATTTGAAAAATGCATCTATACCAAATGCATTAATAAAAATTGATTCTCGAGGTTTGTGAGAAGTAAGTCAGCTCTTCCTTTTCCCCCAAAGTATGCACAGTATGTGTGCTAACTTACTGAATTCATCCTTCATGCAATCCCAGTTTATTAAAGATGTTAAAAATTTATAAAACTCTGATGGGATATGGTTTTTAATGCTTCATCACACTACCCATCATTTGCTTTTCAATCTAGACAGGAATGATCTTGCCGACTTCCCGGCAATCACCTACCTGCACAGCTAATATTTTCTGAATACTCTTCTGAGAGTCTGTCTGGAGTTTGGCCAGCTTCATCTGGCTGAAGAAGACCACCAGCTTGAAGTGTTCTTGCCACAGCTTGCCTAGCCTTCTTTGCAGCTGACAGAACTAAAGGCGAGAGGGAGGGGAAAAAACACAAGTCAGAGTAGGAGAGGAAATTAATGGCAGTGTTCAAGAAGAATGATGGAGGGAAATATAGAAAGCAGTCAATGGCCCATTCTGCACTGTATGGACCTGACAGGAATTTCACAGTCTCTTGATTTTTCAGCCCACTCATGTGCATTCATCAGAAACCAGTCACATCTGGCCGCCAGGATGGGGGGTTAATTTTCTCTAAATGCCTCAGCAGTTTTGTTCTAGCTGAGGCAAACTCTGTGACTGCAAAGCTGATGAGTAAAATATTTCTACTTCACCCAGTTTAACTCAAAACCGATAGCCTCAGGACATATTGAACCTTTCTTTAAAAAACAATCTTTTGAAGCTTTTTTGAATGGCACATCAGGTCAAGCCAAAGTTTAAAAATGCAACTTTAAGACTTTGATGGACACAGTTGGTTCTTTTTTTCCTCATAAAGCTCACCATTGCTTGGCAATGTGTGCGTTAGAGCATGACAAAACTAAAGAGAATTAACTTAGCCATCAACTGCAGAGGGAGAACAATAACAGGGAAGAAATTTCCAGCTAGGACTCCCTATTAATCTACCTCCCTCTGACCATGTGACATGGAAACATCTCACTGCATTAAGTATGGTAGATGTGACGTTTAGAAATGGCACGTTTAATACTAGATCTGCAAAGAGGAAGACAGAGCTCTCCTACAGGGATCTACTATGTCATTTGGGAATTCAATGTAAAAACAAAAACACAGTGTAAGTTTTTACCAAAATGATGCTGATTGCTCTTCAACACTTAGTACAGACACACCAGATAGAATTATTATAATAAGGCTATTTTCAAAGGGATAAGTTTAACAAAATTAACAGGAAAAGCAATTCAGAACAGCCCCAAATATTTACATGAAATACATTCTGTCAATGAAATCTCTTGGTTTTTGGTAATGTAGATAATTGCCTAGCATATCTTGCAGAATGAAAAAATAAACAAAATTCATATCAAATGAAAATTTTATACTAAAATGCCTCTTCAGAGTTAAAACATGTTTAAAATATGCCTGTTTTATGTTTTATTTTTTGATCTGGGTTACATGTATGGGATTTTTTGTAAGACTTCAACAAACAGGATTTGAGAAATCTTCTGTATGTATATTCCAACAAAACAGTTTACTTAAAAATAATCACATTAAAAACCTGGTGTGTCCATGAATTATCATTGTTATCCTCATTTTGTATTGTTATAACCGACATGTATATTTCAGTTTACAGAAAAAAATGAAGCCTTTATTCTTGGTTAATTGGTTAATTTAGGACAAACATAGCTATTTCAGCTTACTAAATGCTGAATTATATTATCCAGAATACATTATGGCATTTCATAGAATTTAGACTATTAAATTAAAGATTAACATTGTTTTGGAAGAAAAATTCAGTCAAGTTTTAAAAAAAATTCAATAACGTAAGTTAGGTCAGTCAGTGTGTGGGGCAGAGGTATGCTAAATCTTGATACACTCATATTAGCATTTAGAAAATGTAGTTCATCAGGTATGCACACAGGTACATGAAGTGTCACATTGAAACTGTCCTTATCGTGGCAGGGGCAGCCATTAGGGCTTAGGTATTAATATGTAGGCATCAACATTGGCCATGTGTTACCCAATGTATACATCAATGATTTAAATAATAATTTGCTTTAATAATAAGATGCACATCAGACCTCCATTTAAATTATAAGTTACTTCATTCTGAAGCTGGCAAGGCTAAAGAAGCTGCCACAGAGTGGTGGCACAGCACAAATAGCCAAAGAAAAACAACCATAGATGTTTATGGGAGTGATTTCTTACTGTATACTTGTTAAAAAATTTGTAACTACATAGTTGGATTTATATAAAAAATGTGACCTGGCAGATTGGAAAGTTTGGTTTGTAAAATGGCAAGGGTGGGATGAGGGTGGAGATTTTACTTGGTTATAAACTGAAATTGTCAAGAAATCATCTTTGCTTATAGGGTATCTTATCCCTGAACATTACACCTGGAAAAACAATGTTTTAAGACACAGTGACATTTACTTCTGACATGATATGCTGTGGGATGAGGCAGACACCCTGAATTGATGTGCATATATTCTAATAAATAAATATAATCTGCTAATTGAGACTATAACTATAATTACTCTTGTGGATGGAAGCTCTGAAGAGATTAGATTTTTGTTATTTTCTTAACAAAACCAATTATCCTTCAGCTCTCTCAGTTCTTGTCACTGTGACTCATTTAAACAGCATAGTTCATAGGTTAATTGAATTCACTGTGGGTTGGTTGTCATACAGCCAGGAAATCTGCTATAGGTTACCTACTTCTGACTAACTTAAACTTCATATTCTTATGATGCCATATCTATTAGAGTCCAATTGCTTTCTTTTTCTCCCTCTGATTTTTAGCAGTCATTCTAGATTAAGGACAGTCATGAAAACTTCTAGAAAAACTCAAGGTGCCTAAAGATCTAGGTTACAATGCATCCTAGAAATCAAGTTGTGATATAAAATGAACACTTGTCTATACCTATCAAATATTAGTTAGAAATGCATGACAAAACCTTACCTATGTACCCATATTATTGTGGCTATATTATTGTCTGTTCACACCTTAATCTACATGAAAACAACTATTTTAGGAATGAGGTTATGATAAAGGCCCAGTCATAAAATGTCAGCACATAGTTGTCTCTCAATAAATGATTTCTAAAACTTGCTCAACAAATCGAACTGATAAAATTTGACCTGAAAAAGGGTATAAGTCAAAAATGTCCATCAAATATTTTACTAAATAGAGAACAGAAATGAATGTCAGGGAAAATAAGGTAAGGATATCAGAATATAATACCTCCACTCAAAATTTTTTTGCAGATCCTGGTTAAAGAAATAATAAGAAAGAAAAAATGTACATAGATTTAAGAGTTAGAAAGAATGGCTACATAGAGATTTCAAGAGGCTCTATAAACTAATAATGAGAGTATAGGAACTTTTCTGACTATATGATCAGCATTAAAGGAGGCTGGGGATATGGCTCAGAGGCAGAGTGCTCACCTGGGATGCTCAAGGCCCTGAGTTCAATCCCCAGCACCATACACATACACATACACAAAAAAGATCAGCATTAAAAATAACATTTTTTAATAAGTCAGTAAGCCAGCTTTGAATCGTAATAGGAATAAATTTTATTCATGACCACAAAATAAAATGTAAGGTAACTAGTTTTAAATATACCTCAAGATTTGCAGGCTTTTATAGAGAAATTTATGAAACTATTTTGAAATATATGAAGTAAGGACAGAACAAATGAAGAAGTATTACATGCTCACATATCAGGAAACCATCATGGATATGTCAGTTTTCCACAGTTGTCTACAGTCTCATCAGATTCAAGGAAGTTGACCTAAAATTCATACGAAGAACAAAAGGCTGGGAATAGCTAAGACAATTGCCCAACAGGAGAACAAGCTTGAAGGATCTGACATGTGATATATAAAACATATCTCAAAATTTTAGGAACTAAGATAAAGTAATGTCAGCATTGGAATGGATAACAGAGCACTGGATCGTATGAAAGAGCTGAGGAATGAACACATGAATATAAAATAATAGAAATTTCATGTGTGACAGAGAAATACAAATCAGTGCAGAAAGAATGGCATAACTGTTTTTCTCCATGCAACTAAAATATAATTAGATCCTCAAGCTCACAACATGCACTAAAATAAGAACAAGGTAGATTGACTTGAGGAAAGTTATAACCTTTACAATTTTTGGAAGAACACGTGCCCGTACAATTTTATGACCTTGAGGAAAGAAGGATTTTGAACAAAATATTAAAATAATCAATTTAAAGGAAAGAATTAATAAGCTTGATCATATTGAAAATTTTTAAATAGTTAAATTTGAACAAAGAAACCAACTACAGGTTTAGAAAAGATATTAATAACTCTCAATGCTCACAAGGATTAATTCCTTTAGCACATAAATAGCCCCTAATAATCAGTGATAAAACACACACAATACACCAGATATAGAAGAAACTGAACTCTCATAAGCTGTTCAAATTCGTGTGTAGTTTGACACAAAGACTTTGGAATGCAACTGCCATTTTGTATTGAAATTGATGTGCTTTTCCTTTGATCCAGTAATTATACTTGAGGCTACATGGGTTTAGACTGGCAGTAATCTGAGTTGATTCCCAGACCATTGGGGTCATTCTTACCTCAGAACTTGTTAAAAATACAGCCATTCAGACCTACTAAACAGAAACTCTGGGACCCACCAATTAGTGTTTTAACAAGATGTGTAGGTGATTTTGATGTGTGCTGAAGTCTTACAGACAGTGCTCTGGAAAAACCTTTCCAATATGCTCTCATGGAAACATATAAAATAATGTTAACTTACAGCTTTGATTGAAATAATGAAAATTTAGAAGCGATCTAATTGACTTTCACTGGAGTAATGAAAAAATACATTGTGGTATGTTTGTATCCAAACGCTAGCATTTACAATAAATACGCTAACATTGCAAGTGTTGTATGTAGCATAACATTTATAGAAATAAAAAATATGAAAATAATACTGCATATGTTAACTTGATTGCTACATAAAGATGGTATGAAAATGAAAAATGTAATGAGAAACACTGCAAGAAGGTCAGTGGTTAGCCATGAGAAAGAAGGGGAACAATATTAACAAGAAGCAGACAGAGGGGGTTTGAGTGTGTCAAACTGGTTTAAGCACATATGGTAAAATGGCCAGATTTACCAAGCTGATAAAGGTACAAGAAATTTATCCTATGCTTCCTTCTGTACTTATAATTTACACATATTCCAACTTTCTGCATGTATGTTTTATTAAAAGAAATACAGGAAAACTTTGTTAAGCTGATTATCTCCATGAAAAAGGCAATATTCATGTTTTGGGGCTTGAGGTTATCTACTTTTGCAGAATTTATTATAATT